ATTATTTAGTGATGAAACATCTTTCCAATTGTTTCGTAATACAATAAAGCATTGGTATAAGAATGCAAGACCAATTCGCCCTATGCCAAAAGACCGAAGCAAAATATTTGCATGGGGTGGTTTCTGTGTAAAAGGTAAAACAAGTCTAACTTGTTTTAGGCGCATAATGGATGCAAAATATTTCACAGAAATATTGGAAGAGCATATCCCAGAGATAAATAGTATGCTGAGGGGTGAATGGCGGTTACAGCAAGACAATGACCCTAAGCATACTAGCCGTATTGCCCGGGAATTCCTTGGTAATAATGTCCCAGAGGTTATGGACTGGCCCTCTAATAGTCCCGACCTAAATCCAATTGAAAACCTTTGGGCCATTGTTAAAAGAAACGTGGAGAAGCGTAGACCCAAAAATCTTACTGAATTAGAAAGTTTTTTTGGTGAGGAATGGGACAAAATTCCAAATAGTCTTCTAATTAGTCTTGTAGATTCAATGCCACGACGTTGTAATGAAGTTATTGAGAAAAATGGTGAAAGGATATCATATTAATTTTTTTTAATAAAATCTGCTGCCTTTTAGCTTTAAAACAATATGTTGTACAGTTAAATTGGTGTGATGGTTGTGAAACTATAATAATTTTAAAAATTGGCATTTTTTTTGCACACCACTGTATATTTTTTTTTCAAAATTCATGTTCATTATACATAAATTTATGTATATGTATGTATATATAATATATAAAGCATTTTAATAGAAAACAATATGACTATAAATTTTGGGTGTTGTGTAAATATTTTTATTTTTTTTGCATTGTTTAATTTATCAATGTTTAGAATAAAAAAATAAAATATTATTGATTTTATATATATTTGGTTTTTTTTTTTTGGATTATTAAGGTTAACATTAATAAAGCATCTTGGTTTTTTAAATTTTCCGATTATTAACGGATCCAATTTATGTGATCCATCTGAATTAGCACATAAGGCAATTGAAAGTCTTTCTTTATTCTTTTTATGTCCAGAAAGTCTTTGTGTGGCTAATGTTCTAATCTATAAAAAAGACCTGTTTCATCCATGTTGTATATTCTTTCAGGTGGATAATTCCATTACGTTTTTTAAACCTATGGAGCCATCCAGAAGAGAAAGCCAATGTTTCTTCTGGTACCCCCAATCCATTTGCTATTTCCTTGGCTTTTTCAATTAAAATAGCATCGCTTAAGATTACTCTGTTTTGATAAATTAAAATAAATTCCTTAAGAGCAAGTTCAAGTTCAAGAACTGTTAGATTTTTGTGTCTTTTGGTATCTGGATTAGTAACTTCAGTATTAAGTATTTCTTCTTTTTTTTGCAGAATTCTTGTTATAGTTGTTTCAACCACTTTAATTCCCCATTTTTGTTCAA